AGAGGATCGATCGGCCCCGCCCCCAAGGCCCCGCCCACTCCTTCGCGGCGCCGTCGCCCGTCGCCCGTAAGGGGGCGGGGCAAGCAATCTAGTGCGAATCATTGGTCCTCTCCTCCAAACCGCCGCGGGGCAGCACCGCGTTTTCCGAATTCTAGTTCTCAGGAAACGATGTCCGACGCTGTCGATTCTCTAGCCAATTCGGGAACGCCTTGACTCATCTCGCTCTCTTATTGGGTAAATGGCAAGATACCAGAGCGGATGTTGTTCTCCCCGTGAGCTCCAAAGCGGGCAAAATGGCGTCTAGTGACGGGCAGCTTGGAAGCTTATTCGACCACCACCTCCAGAGGGAGGTTTGCGATACAAGGGCGAAATATCGAGAGGGCCGACGACCTCGCGCGGTCAAGGTGAAGTGATTTCAGTTTCATTCGCTATCTTCGATAGCTTTGTGCGAGCTCTAGTTCCACATAACCCGCCTAGATTGATAGAGGGATAGCAAGCTGCTGTCAGATCTCTCTTCTTGGAGATGGCATGTGGAAGCCTGGGTTATGTCTTTTTGTTTTTGTTTTGGTACCGGGGATCGAACTCGGTCCCTTGCGCTTGCGAGGCAGGCGGCGGAACCACTGAGCCGAATCCCCGCCCCTAATTGTAATAATAACCATTTGGTTAACTATTAGAACGTCATTGTGCAAGAGCACAATGTTTTAGTCTTTGTATAGTCTTATGTTTACAGCAGTGCGTGCCACATAAATGCTCAGTGAATACTAGAAAAAATGTCAAGAGGGCAGTCTGTTGCATGTTTTAGTTAGATATCCTTACACGTGGAGTATGTTATTATTTATGAAGAGTGTAGCATTTTAAATTTTTGTGTATTTTTTACAGTCCCGATTGAACAATGCTTTGTTTAAAACCAAAAATAAAGGCAAATTTGTCCCAAGGTTATTTGCGAAATATGTTTAATGAATCTATTTCTTTCAGGTATATACAATCAACTTGGAATCTTGGTACTTACTAATACAAGGAGTTCCTGCAGTGGGAGCAATGAAGGAGTTAGTGGAGCGATTTGCTCTATATGGTACAATTGAAGAATATAACGCTCTAGATGAATATCCAGCAGAAGACTTTACAGAAGTTTATCTTATTAAATTTATGAATTTACAAAGTGCAAGGTAATGTGCAAGAGTTAAGCAGTATCTCATTTCTTCCATTCCTATTGCTATCATTTGGCCTCAGGTTTCTCTCATTTGTACTGAATTATCCAAAAACTTAACGTGGCCCTGTATTATTCTTATCTTCCTACAGACTTTTAAAAGGCTAACCTTACCAAAGCACTATTTCTATCCCTTCATTCCCATGCTTAACAATTTCTATCCTGTAAAATGGTACATTAAAAATTTAATTTGAAATGTTTTGAAGCCCTACTGCTTATTAGCTTCATGATAGCAAGTAATTTAACCCTTTTGATCCCTGGTACCAAAAATACGTAATTTAACCCTGCTGAGCCTGTTTTTTTTTTCCTTTTCTTAAAATACATAAGGTAGGGCCGGGGATTTAGCTCAGAGGTTCCGCTGCCTGCCTTGCAAGCACAAGGACCTGAGTTTGATCCCTGGTACCAACAAACAAACAAAAAATACATACAGTAAAAAGGCTACTTCTTGAGGTATGATGATGAAATGAGATAATTTGTGTACGGGGCTTAGAATAATGCTTCCTGTTCATAATGCAGTAAACATTAGCTGTCTTATTACGCAAATTAACTCCACCCTTTTCTGACAGCTCTATAACATAAACCTGCTCCAATAAGCTGAAGTATGCAATACCTTATTTACTTTTGTGTTGACTCTTTTTCATGTCACTAATCTAACCTAAGACTTATCCTTCGTGGCTATTATCCATTCATATTTCTTTTCTCACTCACAGTACCAGTAGCCCTGAACTCTGCCACAGAGATGCTTGATTTAATGGAGTCATATGTTGTTATCAGACAGCTCTTCTATCTAATTTCACTTTCCTAAACAGTGTGCCAGCTCCTCATGATTAGGAAAACATGTAATATGTGTGTCCAATTAGCAGCCCACAGGTTGGACAAAACTGGCTTGCCTGGTTTGCATTGAGTGAAGAATTGAATTGAGCCTCATATAAAATATAGTGGTACCTTGGTTTGTGAATGCTTGTGTTTGTGAAAAATTTAGTTCGCAAACAGAAGAGTGGCAAAATTTCATTTTTGTTTGTGAACTCTGCATTGGGTGATGAACACAACTGCAGCCATCTTTCCCACATGAACATGAGTGGCCATCTGTTGTCATCTGCGAGCCAGCTCATGGAACAAGGTTCGGGAGCTCGGACTGGGAGGGCAAGGCACGGAATCACCACGCAGACTCGGGGGATGTTTCTGGAACGCTTCCTCTTTATTCAGCAAATGCACAGGCTTACATGGGGCGGAGCATGAGAGGTACATTTAATGTTTGGTGCTATCTTATTGGAGGCACAGTGGAGTGATTTTTCTTAGGTGAGGCAAAGGAGTCATGGACTAGGGGCGGAGGTATAGCCTGTTGGACCCAGCACCTGCACGCTTAGGAGAGTTAGCTCAGCCTTAGCAAGGTCTCCGAGTTAACTTAGGAGCCAGGAGTGTGGTGCACCTGGCCCAGCCAGGCTTGAACTTCTCCCACAGCCATCTTTTCCAGAACTGTGGAACAAATCAAGTTCGTGAACTGAGGTACCACTGTATATAATATAGTTGATGTATTTCAGTAACAGAACTTCCTTTTTAAAATTTATTTATTATTATAAGGTAGGAGGCATAGCCAAATCTATATTAATAGACCATGTTGTCATATATTTCTGTTTAGGATAGCCAAGAAAAAAATGGATGAACAGAGTTTCTTTGGTGGATTGCTTCATGTGTGCTATGCTCCAGAATTTGAGACAGTTGAAGAAACTAGAAAAAAATTAGAAGAGAGAAAGGCTTATATAACAAGAACTACTAAAAATAAAGGTATGAAAAGCTTGCTGTTAAACACTTCTATGTGTCAGGTATTCTGCTACATAATATCATTGGGAGTGCCCAGTCTAGTTGGGGGACAGGCAAGTAAGTGATCACAGTATTCAGTAACTTAACTCAGTGTTCTTTGCAGCATTGTGCATAAGCTGGGTTAGAAATAGAGTTGTTGATTGTCTTAAGTTTCCACATCCCACTCTGGTGGTGCAGTTTTCTTTGGGGAGGATAGATCAGGTAAGATACTTTTACAGACCCTAACAATGCACCCAGCGTACTGTTTGCTTTCATAAGAAAAACTAAATGACATGTTATATTTACATAATAAAACATTCTGAAGCTGAAAAAAAAGCATTCTATGTAGTGACATGGGAAGGCTCTGATGTCTATGTAAGAGTCCTGTAGCTTGGTTCTGTAGTGGAAAGAGAAAGATGGGCAGATGGGATGAGGAAAAGTAAGACTTGGGATACTTGAATAAGAATGAATAGTGAATGCATAAGAGGGGTAGAAAACCAGACACAAGTAGAGCAAGAAAAAGGTAAATTTTTTTCTTCTTTTAAAAGGCCTTTAAACCACATCAATACATTCCCTGCTCAAGAAATAAAATCTTTGAGTCAGGTGTGCTGGCACATCCCTGTAATCCCAGCACTTAAGAGGCTGAGGCAAGAGGATCATTGCAGGTTCAAGGCTAGGCTGGGCTACATAGTGAGTTCAAGGCCAGCCTGATGTACATGGCAAGACCCCTTCCCCCCAAAAATGTAATAAAATATTTGGAGTAGAATATGGTAACATTTTTTAAGTTTGTATTTTAAATTACACAATTCTGGATGGTAAGAACAATAAATGGATCATTTGTTTTCTTTTCCCACAACTTTTAAATTGTAATTTAAAAAGACTATTACATGACAAAGAAGAAACCAGTTTCAGCGCATAAAGACACGGAAGATTTTAGACAAGCCTTCCACACAAATGCGTCTGAATTTTGTGCAGCCACTGTGAACACACCTACTGGGAACTCAAATCATTGTTTTCCTTATTCTTGTGAACTGCCTTTATGTTATTTTGCCTCAAACTGTTCATGTTCACCCAGGCAGCATATGGCCAGAGCATCCAGTTTCTATAAAGATGAGAGAAACCATGACAAAACAGTGAAGCATTGTATCCACAATGACTCTTCCTCAGAACTACAGATAAACCCTTTTAAAAATTCAGTACCCTCTTCTGGGGCACAAAAAGCCATTACTCCTTCAGGGGCAGTTGACAGATTTATGCCTAGGGCCACACAGCTGCAGGAAAGGAAAAGAAGAAGAGAAGATGATCGTAAACTTGGAACTTTGCTTGAAACACGCATGAGCAGTAATGAGGTGATGATTGGACCTAAGTTACCAGACGTACCTGAAGTGGATCTGCAAGATGGTTCCTTGAATACAACAGCAAGCTTAATTCGGAATAAACTGAAAGAGGTGAGGTCACTTTTTTTTAAAGTGTTAAGATGATTGGATTATGGGACTAATAGCTAAATGGAAAATTATTTGTGGGAATGATAGAATTCTATTTTGTCAGTTTTTAGTCTTTGATGTCATTTTTCTGCAGTTCTCTGTTAACCAGCATGTTTATTTATTTTGATGGTAATTTTTGCTTTAAATAATGAACATTTTGGGCTGGGGATTCAGCTCAGTGGTTCTGCTGCCTGCCTCTCAAGCACAAGGACCTGAGTTTGATCCTCATTACCAAAAAAAAAAAAACATTTTTATATCATTCTAGAAACAAAAATACTAAAAAATGATTTCAGTCAGTTAAATCAGTCTTCCCTAGTGGGTTCTAGGCCTCCTTTTTAAACAGATGCCTAGGTAGTAATAATATGAACCAAAGCTGAGAAAAAACATTAATATAAATTATTTCTCTTAAATTCGAAGTCATTATTTTTTTCCAGTACCAGAGATCAAACTCAGGATCTTGCACTTGCAAGGCAGATGCAGCACCACTGAGCTAAATCCTTGGCCCTCAAAGTCATATTTAAAACGATTATTTTGCTTTGGTGTTAAAAATAGCTGTAGAAGGAAGTGAGATTTCTAAAGATTGGGTTTTTGTATTGCTTTAAGGTTTGCATTTTAAGTGTAAACTTCTTAAAAGATTAGAATTAGATTATGCTGCTTAGTTTTTTTTTAAACATTATTTACATAATAATTTTCTATCTCAAGCGTTAAAAAAAAAAAATGTTTGAAAAAAATTTTTTTGAAACAGGATCTCACTGTGTGATTCAGGATGGCCTCACACTCTCAACAAACCTCCCTCAGCCTCCTGATGAGTTTTTGAAAGACATCTTTTTTGGGGGGTGAGGGAACTTGTAGACATCATAAACAGAGGGTAGTGCCCATTCTCTTACATTTAACTCCAAGGTTCAGAAGGTGCTTTTCACGTCGTTACATATGTTTTACCATATGATTCAGGGAAGCTAGAAGTAGCCTGATATCTTTTACAGTTTTTTTTTTAAAATCATTATCTAAGAATAATAATAATACTGAAAACCCATGAACACCAATTTTAATGCTCAAGCCTTGTAAAGATTTTTGGCTTACACTAGCACCTTACTTTCTTAGGTATAGCTGACCTGAGAGACTTATAAATATGTAGCTGTCTCAGCAAGAGCTGACTGCATTTTGAAAGTGTAAAGTCCAAATCTTAGAAAAATAGTAGAAAAACAAAAAAAATATTTAGTATAATTTACCAGTTTCTAGTATTTTTTCATTTTAAATAAAGACTTATTCTGCTTTGATTTATTGCCCACACTTTTTCTAATGAGTTTGGATCTATTTTTCTCCTAGGAAATTGAGAATTATACCATTTTCTGCTCATTTATCCATACTTTTCATCCCCCTCCCAAACATTTTATATCTCTATCAGATATTGTGTTTAAAAAATGCAAACTTGGATATTAATCTGTATCCAAAAAAATGGTGAACTTTATTTAAAAAATGCTAAAGGAGAGCATGTGTTTACTTGTCTCCCTCCCTGGGCCCCAATTTTTTTTTTTCCAGTTCTTAGTATCAAAACTAGGGCCTTTGTATGTGCTAGGGAAATGCTATCTATATACCTCCTACCCTCCCTCCATTTTTCTTCTTGGTAAATGGTTTTGAAATTTTACACCCATCGGTGTTTGGACAGAAAACTTTCCTCTGCCTAGGTCATAGGCTGTATCTAAAACATGGGCCAGGGACAGGGACTTGGCTCAGTGGTGCCACCACTTGCCTCGCAAGCGCAAGGACCCAAGTTCAGTCCCCAGTACCAGTAACTAGCAAGGGCCAAAAGGACTGGATGATTAAATGTATATCCTATCTCTTCTAATTTAATTACTTTTACACTATGAAAACTATTTTGATAGTTCTTTTTTCTTTTTAAACTAGGTGATTTCATCTGTGCCAAAGCCTCCAGAGGTCAACTTGGCTGTACATATGAATCATCCATTAAAACAAAGAAGAAGAATATAGGCTGCCAGGAGCAAGTTAGTAGTCTCTACAGAGGATATTTATTCTTCATCGTTAACCTAGCATTTTATTTAAGAGATTTTAATGCTAGTATTTTTTAATGCACACTATTTTATAATTTCATTCAGTTTGTCTAATATAATTTAATGTTTCTGTGATCTATACTTAATTGTACAGAAACTGTTCATGTTATATAACGTGACCATCTATATTATAACCATATGTAAATTGAAGCAAATGAAACTTTATAATACACAGAAAGTCAACCATTATCTGCTTATTATTTTAATACAAATACTGAGCAATTCATATTTAGCAGTTTAAAAACTGAAAGTCCTGATGTTCCTGTAAGCCAGGGCTTCAAAATGAAGACAGTTCTGTAAATTAAAAAAGTTAATAAACTATTACAACAAAGTTGATATTAGAAGCTTACATGGTATAAAAGAAACTTTAAGAATTTACTTAATAGTAATGAAAAAAATCAGTTTTGGAAATTCTAGACCTCGACCACTATACTTTAAGCATATCTACACTTTCTTCTGTATTTGAACACATAATTTGAAATCCAATTTTATCTAGATTCTTTCCATTTACTTTTTTCTTTCTATTTTTTTTTTTTAGGTAGAGGTGGGGGGGTACAGGGGATTGAACTCAAGACCTTGCGCTTGTGAGGTAGGCTCGGTGCCACTGAGCTAAATCACTGGCTGTTTCCATTTTCTTTACTGGTAAAAATAACTTGAGAAGGCTCATATCTAGTGTGTGTTTTTCATTTTCCTCTGTCCTTAGGGCTTCTTGTCTAAGAGATTAAATTTGAACATATCAGTGAATAAGGTTTACTTCAGCTATCAAGGTGTACTGCTCCAAATTTGCTAGAATGGTGGTAAGTGGAGGGTGGTACTAAAAGAGTCTGCAGGCAAGGAGTTAGGCTCTACTTCCTTGTGAAGTGCATACATTTTTGCTGAAATCTCAAAGATCTAAGTACAGAATTGGAAAGAACAAATGCTGTTCACATAATCCTTTTCAGATGTTAAGACACTGTGAATCTCCACCTTAGGGTCTTATTAAAATGTAGATTCTGATGGTGGTACGGAGGAGGAATGGGGACTTATTTAACGGTATAGACTCAGTTTTGCAAAATGAAAAGAATTATGGAAATTGGTTGTATGACCCTGTGCGTGTGCTTGATACTAACTGAACTGTACATTTAGAAAAGATTATGATAGTACATTTTCTATTATGTGTCTTCTATGACAACCTAAAAATTCCCTGTCAGACTGAATGGCAGCAGCTCTTAGATGGATTCTCTGTTTCTAAGTGGGTTTCTCATCTGTTCTCTGAGGTTTGCTTCTCCCTATCTACAGACAGACATTTGAAGGTGACAAGAAAGAAACAAACTGGTTGTATCAAGCAACAACAACAACAAAAGTAGATTGTGATTCACTTAGTTTTGTGTAGGGGCTGACATTTTGCATTTCTCAAAAGTTCCTAGGAAATTCCACTGCTGCCAATTCACAGACCACATTTTTAAAGTCCAGGCTCTAGATAAGTGTGCAACACATGAACTCTTGTGCTGCAGCTGAAGAACTGGTGGCTCAAGCTCAGTGGCACACACCTGTAATCCCAGTGCTCTGCCAGGCTAAGGCAGGAGGATCATAAGTTTCAGCACAGGCTAGGCTGCTTAGTGACTTAGTGAGGCCCTGCCTCCAAAGAACTTTTGGCTCTTCCATCCTTAGTTACTCCAGTCCCTTTGTGCTTTGCTGTTTTCACCCATCAGTGTCTTACAATTGGAAATCTGCCTTTCACACGTTGCTTTTTACCATACATTTCCAGGCAGAACTTGGATACGGGATCTAGGAAATAAATGGGTAAGGATAACTTAACCACATGCAAGTTAACTTGCAAAATCATAAAGTTTCTTTTGTTTTTGGTACTGGGGATTGAACTCAGGACCTTGTGTTTGCAAGCCAGGTGGCGGCAGCACTGAGCTATATACCTGGCCCTAAAGTTTCTGTTTTATATGTTTGAAAAGTACAATTGCTCAAAGACTAAGGAAGTTAGTTAAGAGTCAAATCAATTACTAGGCTGATCCTCCAGTTCAGAAAATTTGTCAGATTCATACATAAAAAGCCTTTTTAAGCACAGGTGGGCTTTTGGTATTTATAACTATACCTCTGCTTCTGGTAAATATGGCCCAAACACCTCCAACAGAAGTCTGTCCTGTTTTACTGCTTTTTCAAAGTCTGTGATACGTTGCCATCGTTGTCATAATCCTACAAAGGAAGATGATTTTTTTCTTAAGTGACAGTCATTTTAATTTTGCCATGGAAAATAGCTCTCTAGACTAAGAGGTTTTATAAGCAAAACAATTTTGCATTTTTGAAGACACTATTTATACAAATTAAAAGGTACTTATTTATAGAGGCCACTTTTTATTCTAATAGGTATACCTTATATATCTGTATAAAATGTGGCCATGTCCTGAAAACATCCAAATTATTGAAATGACAAATTAGAGGGAGCCTGTTATTATACTGCTTCTTTTGTGAAGAAGTAAGTGTAACAGGATAATGATTTTTAAGCTTAATTTTTGTAGCATTTGTTTACCAAAGAATTTCTTACTTGGGAGCTCATCGGTAGAAAGGATAGAAGTGAAGTTGCTTTGTGAAAAAGTCACTAGGAGTTATAGCAGTAACTGTTCTGGATGAACTAGAGTCATTAGATGAAGCCTGTAGGCCTCTGCTGGGTCTTTAAGGCTGGTTGAGTTATGGGTAAGTAGAGAGGCGTAGAGAAAGTACAAAAGAGTGGCCCACACAAATTATGACAGTAAGCAGGGTTTAAATTGGGGAAGCATTGAGGACAGGGCTTAAGAAAAATGCCATGCAGGGTATGGAATGGGGATTCTGTTGTAGACTATGAATGCTTTTAGCTGCTCAACTGAACTGGACTGAAAGAGATGAGCTGCTTTTTCATTTCTGGGCATAACTGCATCAGGGTTGCTGAAAGTCTTATCCAGAGAAAAGTTTTAATCAATGTTAGAAAACGGTTTATTCCATAAACATTTCCTTTAAAAAAAGAAGAGCATGGGTAGTACTGGAGGACATACTGTCTCTGAAGAAGGCAAATGCATTCAGTGGCTAGTGAAAGTGTTTTTATTTTATTTTTTTATTTATTTATTTTTATCGAGTTTATTGGTACAATCTAGGTATACAATACTGTTACATTCATTATTGGGATCCTGTACCTTTACATAATAGGTCTTGATTCTCATTTTTTCCCCTTGTCCCTGCCCTCCCTTCACCCTCTCCTTCCCTCCCCCTTTTCAAACACTTTATTTCCATTTTTTCAATTTCTCATATTTTTTTCCTCTCCCTTATTACCTTTCCCCCACCCTTCCCACTTTCCCTACACCTTTAGCCCTTTACTTCCTATTTCACATTATTATCTCATTAGGATCCTGTGTACTATTATAGTTTTTCACACCAGAGAAACTATTCGGTATTTCAGTTAAAGAAATCTCTATATGAACATTAAAAATAGGGAATCCTAAAATAAAACTAAAAAGGAAAGTAAAAGAGAAAAGGCAATGATGTAAGATTAAAATAATCCTTAGTTCTGAAGATGAAAATGGTCCCTTAACATATTTAAATTGCTTCTTGCTCTTGTAGTCTTATCTTACTCTTTTGTGGAAGTGTTTTTAAAAGAAGAGGATACTCTGGAGCCTGCATTAGTGACTGTCAAGTCCACACTCTTTCTTGAGCTTGAGAGTAGTATGGTGAGCTGGGCCAGCACTGCCTTGGATTCACAAAACCTCACTGCATCCAGTTTAGGGTCTCAGTGAGAAATAGAAGTCACTATTTCACAACAAAAGACTTCTGTAGTTTCTGTTGAAAGATGACTTCTCTGCACCACATTTTCTAGTGTGATGTTGGTAAACCTTTCTGATTTCTATTTTTTTTCATCCACAAAATGGAGGTGATAGGACTGTTTTGAATTTTTAAACCCAGGCTGGTCTCGAACTCACAGTGATCCTCCTGCCTCAGCCTCCCGAGTGCTGAGATTACACGCATGCACCACCACACCTGGCTTAGGACTATTTTGAAAAAAGGAACTCTACATTAAAGTTCTCTGATAGGCCTGGAATATATACAGTAGTGGGCACTCTATATGACTCAAATATTTTTATCATTATTTTGTTATAGTAAGTATTTAGATGGGTTGGAGGGGAGAGGTCACAAAGACAAAGTGTGGAACCCAGTTTTACATGATCTGAACCTAGCTCCACCCCCTCACGAATTAATGAGGTCTTAATGATAGTAAAATATTACAGGGGTATGCATCATATTAAATGAGGAAAAGCTGACAGCTTTCTCTCTAACATCAGGAACAAGATAAGGGTCATCACTCCTGTTCAATGTAGTACTTGAAACAGCCAGACCAATCAGGCAAGAAAAAGAAATAAAAGAAATATGTACAGGAAAGGAGGAAGTCACATTATTTGCCGATAACATGATCCTCTACATAGAAGACCCAAAAAATTCCACCAAAAGACTTCTAGAATTAATAACCATCGCTTCTCGGCCTTTTGGCTAAGATCAAGTGTAGAATTAATAACCAAACTGAGCCATGTACCAGGATATAAAAATCAGCACACAAAAATCAGTAGAATCCCTGTACATCAGTAATGAACTCATTGAGAATGAAACTAGGAAAACAGTATCATTCATAATGTCATTAAAATTTACTTAGGAATTAACCTAATCAATAAAGTTAAATGCCCAGCGAGGAAGTAAGACTTTGTATAACAAAAACTACAGTACTCTGAAAGAGAAAATTGAAAAAGGACATCAGAAAATGGAAAGATATTTCCTATTCTTGGATAGGCACAATTGATATTTTCAAAATGGCTGTACTTTGAAAACTGATACTCAGATTTAATGCACTACCAATAACATTTCTCATAGAACTACAGAAAACAATTCTAAGATTCACATGGAACCAGAAGAGACCTAGAATGGCAAAAGCAATCCTAGGCAACAAGAGCAAAGCAGTAGGCATCAAAATCCCAGACTTAGTTACATGACAAAACCACAGTGATTAAAAACAACATGCACTGGCACAAATACAGACTCTAGGATCAGTGGAACAGGATAGAGGATGTAGAACATACACTGCAAGAAAGATAGCCTCTTTAACAAATGGTACGAGGAAAACTAACTATAAACATGTAGCAGATTGACTCTAGACCTATACCTTTCCCCAGAATGGCTCAAACTAAAATCAAAATGGATCACATATTTAAATGTTAAAACAGAAACAATCCACTGGAAGATTAAACAGGTAAAACTCTTGATGACATAGACATAGGCAAAGACTTTCTAAACAGAACCCCAACAGCATGAGAAATATCAAGAATCAACGA